AGGCACGCGCCACCATGCCCAGCTAATTTTTGTATTTTTAGTAGAGACGGGGTTTCACCATGTTGACCAGGATGGTCTCGATCTCTTGACCTCGTGATCCACCCAAGCAGAGTAGTGACAAGATTAGAGTTGCATTTTAGTAAGTTAATTATACCAGCAATGTGGAAGACAAGATGAAAGGAGAAAAGACCTATCCAAGTAGAAAATGGAAGCCTACTCAGGTGATTCTTCTGTAATACCCTTTTGCCAATTTCTTGCCAATTTGAAATTAAGACAATATGTAGCTGAAATATGTTAATAATAAACTTTACTATATGTTGTATATAGAATATATAAAGCTAAATCCCAAGTTAAAAGAGAAAGGAGCCAAATTTCCATCAACCCAAAGGTTTACAGAAAAAAAAAAAGAACTATCACCTCCAGTTCTCTAATAAAAAATTCCATACTAGTATTTATGTGATCTGCATCTTTCTCAAAAATTATAGGGGATGATAGTGGAACATAAATCATTTGCTTAAAAAGCAGACATAAAACAAAACAGTTAAAGACTGCCCCATCCAACCAAAAACTCCATCAGAAAATGTGAATTTACGTAAGTGAAGACAAGGATTTGGAATTGCCATTCTAACTATATACTAGAGGGAGTGAGTCTTAATCCTTATAAAACCTAGAAACTCACTAACTTGGCTGGGCAGTGGCTCACACCTGTAATCCCAGTAATTAGGGAGGCTGAGGCTGGAGGATCACTGAGGCCAGGGGTCTGAGACCAGCCTAGGCAACAAAGCAAGACTCTGTCTCAAAAAAGAAAACAAACACACCACACACACACAAAAACCCACAAAAAAACAAACTCACTAACTCATTCTCACAGGAATAAAATTATCAGTGCTTCTTGATGAGTAATACGGGTAAATAAACAGCTTAAAGTTTTTATTTTTCTTTTCTTCCTCGGTCCACTCTCAAACACTGTTGTTCTGCGGGCTTTGGCTACTGACCCCATCTTCTAATATCTTATCTTTGATCTCATCCGCTTTCATGGTTTTAATTAACACTTATGCTGAGACCTCAAATCTTTGCATTCTCCCATGGGTGTGCTCCTGAGCTTCAGTCTCATGCCTCTACCCGCCTGCTGGACAAACTTCAACTCAGTTGGTCTAAACTGAACTCCTCCTCTCATACCTACTCCCCATAAACCTGCTGTTCTAGGCCTTGAGTCTCAGATAGATACCACCTCGTGACCCAAGCCAGAGGTCTGACAGTCATCCTAGGTACCTTCACCTCTCTTATCTCACTCACATCCAAGCAATCACCAACTTCTGCCAGTTTCAGCGTTTAATTATTTCTCTTAACTGTCCTGTCTGTTCCATCTCTACTGCCACTGCCTCATTCAGGCCTTCATCATCTACCTCCAGTCCTAACCACACTTAGACTCACACTGGGAAAACATAAATATGACCATGTCCCCACCTTGCTCAAAACCCTCCAGTGGCTCCCAAACATCCAGGCATATCTGAGTACCCGAGTATGATATACAAGGCCCTTTATCATCTAACCTCAACCTACCTTTTATAGCCTCTTCCACCACACCCCACCTCAAATTTTGCCATTAACAGTATGGAGACCTAAACAACTTGAGTTGTAATACAAAAACTACCTGTAATTATCTACTCAAAGAATGCTCTCATTTCCATCCTTTAAAAAAATGTTGTTCCTCCACCTAGAACATCCTCACTTCTTTCCTACTCAAAACTCCAAAATGTCTCCCAAGGCTTAGTTTAGGTAGTCTCCCTCCAGAACTTCCCTGAGTTCACAGGCTTAAGCATGTATTCCCAGAACACACCTTCATCAAATCACACACTGAAAAACTTCTTCAGAACATGAACTGCCTTTGCTTTTCCAGGGTTTAGTGCCAAGTTAGACAGGGGAGACAAAAAGGCTAGCTCTTAATTTTAGGACCAAGTACCTAAAGCCCCCAACCTTAAAATTTGAGGCTACTCAGGCTCCTACGCCCTTCAACACCCACCACATTGCCGTAGATATGATACAGGGTGATAATCATAGTGAATACAGTGACACCATGTACTGTCTGGCTTGGAGAGATAAATCAGAGAAATCTCAAGTAGCCAAGCTCCAGACCTGTTCACTAAACCTAGGACCGAGAACCAGGGTTCAGGACTGCTCTATCTGCCTCCCTTTACTCTGGCCTCTGCAGTATCTGATAAATCAAGCATGAGATTCATAACCATTAGAAGACTCCTTCAACATATTTTTCTAGTCCTATTGGTCCTAAACTGCCATACATTAGAATCACCTCAGGGGTAATTAAAAAATACTGATGCCGGGCGCGGTGGCCCAAGCCTGTAATCCCAGCACTTTGGGAGGCCGAGGCGGGTGGATCACGAGGTCAAGAGATTGAGACCATCCTGGTCAACATGGTGAAACCCCGTCTCTACCAAAAATACAAAAAATCAGCTGGGCATGATGGTGCATGCCTGTAATCCCAGCTACTCAGGAGGCTGAGGCAGGAGAATTGCCTGAACCCAGGAGGCGGAGGTTGCGGTGAGCCGAGATCGCGCCATTGCACTCCAGCCTGGGTAACATGAGTGAAACTCCGTCTCAAAAAAAATAAAAATAAAAATAAAAAAATAAAAAATACTGATGCCCAGGCTCATCTGGAATGAACGGAATCAGAATCTCTGGAATGGGACCTGGGCAACACATTTTTAAAATCCTCTCCAGGTGCTTTAATTGTGTCACAGGGTTGAGAACCCTGTTTTTGTCAGCCTAGAATCTGAAGGCCACGTCAAGGGTGCTGTGGGGCAGTGGAAATCCCCTTAGAACTTCAGTCTGTGGCTGCATTAGCAGAAAGCAGATCCTGAAGCGTTAGGAAAGACTTTGATATTCTAAACAGCTCCTTTTGTTCTGCAGGAATCTGTCCCCCAGAGGCAGGCAATGAGGAGAATCTGGTGTCCTGGGGCACCCAGTTTTAGAAAACCTCTCAACACTCAGCTCAGCAGCTATGAAAGTTAAGAAATGTGGATGAGCTGTATCATCCATTTACATTGTTTTCAGGCTGATTTATTAATCAGTCTCTTTTATGACTAGAAATAATTTCTATTATTAACTACAGTAGGAGTATCATGGCCAGAATTAAAATAACTAATGTAAAAAGATGCCATATTAATACTCACATTTAGAAATTTCTAAAAAACAGTCAATGAGGATTTAATATTTGATTAAGACTAGGAAAAATCTGATAATCTAAGTTAGAGATGCATTCAAATTAGTAAGTCAGGAGACTCAAAACCTGACTCTTCTCTGGAAGTATTTTGAGCCACCTAAAAAATCATGTCATCTGAGGAATCTTCTCAATTAGAAGTTACGGAATTCCTACGGCTAGTCCTACTAATCAATTACAATAAAATTTTGAAGAATTATTAAGTAGTTGTCACTGCTGCTCTCAGAGTTCAGCACTGCACTTCTCCAATTTAAAAAATATGCCTGAACTCATTAACTGTTTACTTAGGATGCCTAACCAAATAAAAACAGCTATTAATTCACAACCAATCAAAAGTTTATCTTTGACCAACATAATACTAAACTTATTTCTTGATCACATATTAAAAAAATAGGAAGTCGCCAGGGCACGGTGGCTCACACCTGTAATCCCAGCACTTTGGGAGGCTGAGGTGGGTGGATCACCTGAGGTCGGGAGTTTGAGATTCTCCCCAGCCTGACCAACATGGAGACCGCTACTAAAATGCTTGCAATCCCAGCTACTCGGGAGGCTGAGACAGGAGATTTGCTTCAACCGGGGAGGCAGAGGTTGCGGTGGGCCGAGATCGTGCCATTGTACTCCAGCCTGGGCAACAGAGCAAAACTTCCTCTCAAAAAAAAAAAAAAAAAAACCCCCCCGGGAGTTTTGGAGCCAGGGAAAAAGGAGGGAAGCTAAAAAAAAAAAAAAAAAAAAAAAAAAAAAAAAAAAAAAAGGAAGTCCTCATCTTATCAAAAGCTTTAATTTTTTCAAAAGGATTCTCTATTATTGGAGGTAAGCTTCTGAAGAGTTAACACATTATTTAGTATTGTAAGGTGACTGATGTGTAAAGAGAGATTAGGTAAAAGGACAAAGCGTGTTTGAGACGCACAGTTCGCCAGTCAGTTACAGCAACTGTGCAAAGAGAAAAATGGTAACAACAGAGGGCACTGCTAACAGATTTAACTGTAGTCCTGTCTGGCTTCTTCGGGTACTTTATGCCCTGGTGGCTGGGTTGTTAGTTTAACCACAAAGAGGCCGTTATCATTTATAACTACACCTGGACAAGTATCTTCAGATAAATACAAGTAGATCCTGGCGTCCCCACCCCGCCCCACTAAGCTCGGCAACCTTTAACGGCCACTTAAGTAAATGAAGGTATTAAAATCTTAGATCCATTCAATTAAATGTTGATTCTTTGCCAACTGAAGCAGAAAAAAACGGCATGAAACTGAAGGTTTCTGATAGTGATTTGATGAGCAGAAAGACGTTAAGCTCACAGACAGCCGATCTGGAATCTTACCAGGACTTAACCAATCATAACCTACGAGGAAGCCTAATTCTGAGCAGAGTGTCCTAAGAAAGCGACAGCGCCCTACACAACCAGCAACGCCCGCCACAACAGCAGCGACTCCTGCCCTTTGGCAGAAACCGGGGGATTTTCACAGAAATCGTCTAATTGGCACACGGTGAAGATCCATTAGGTGACTCGAAACTGAGCAGTTGTTCTGTTATGTGCTCTACACATTACAATACAGAAAACCACTCAATGGTGACAAACCAGGAGGGCGCCTTGGGATCCAGGCGTTAGCTCCCCGCAGTCCCCCCCGCCCGCTTGCGCTTTCTCTCCCCATTCTTAACTGGGGGGCTGCACCTCGCGGGGACTAAGCTGGAAGCGTCGGGGGCCTTTTTGACAAATCCGAGTTGGCGAGGTTCTCGAGTCACGTTCGCGAACGCTTCCCGCGTTCTAACCTAACCCGGCCGGGCGGGCGGGCCCTGGGGACAGACGCGGAGTGCAGCCGGCATGGAGGCCGCGGACGCCTAGCGCCTTGGGACTCCGGACAGGAGTGGCCGCTGCGGGGCCGGGACGGGGCCCTCCACGTGAGGCAGAGGGCCCGGGGCCCGCTCCCCGCAGCCCGGCGTGACGGTCAACGCCAGGCCGGGGTCCACACCCTAGGGAGGAAGAAGACGCGGGACCGTCTCAGTCCTTACCATGGCGCCGGCGCGGGGACTTCCGCTGGCGGGGCCTGCGCACGGGGTGAGGGGCGGGGCAGGCCAGGGCGCGTTTGATTTTGGCGCCAACGTCGCCCCGGGGGCGGAGCCACGAGACGGAGGAGGGGAAGTAGGGAGGTCCTCGCCCTTGCGGCACGCAGCGACCCCTAGCGGTATCTGCGTCTCACCTGGCAGATTGCACAGCTGCCTCCTTCTCGGTATTCTGTTAATGTGACTTTTTCTTTTTAAAGGACATCTTGAGCCTTTGCTTTTTCTGCGTTGTTTCGGCGCCGCAGAAATCTGGCCTAAGTTAGGATTTAAAAAATAGAGACAGTTTGGCTGCGGAGGAAGGAAACGTTGCCTGCATCCTTCCGGATTTGTCCTGTCTGGGGCGAATGGATTCCTTTCTCCTCCTCTAATTTAACCCCTCATCTTCTCCCCAGCCGCTATCCATTGCTTTCCAGCTTTTCAAATCCCGTGTATGTCTGTTTTTCCCTTAGGTTAAAAAAAAAATTAAACAACGGAATGAATTTCAAATCAAAACGTCAAAAATATGCTACTTCATGTCTTGAGAATAGATGCAGATTCAGAGCAAAAGTTCAGGCCCGTGAAAGTGCTGAAAAAATTTCACCGAGAATCCAATTATTTTGAAAATTATTATATGGTGTTTTGAAAAATTTTTTAAGTATAAGAAGTACGGCCAGATGTGGTGACTCACGCCTGTAATCCCAGCACTTTGAGAGGCCAAGGAGGGCGAATCGCTTGAGGTCAGGAGTTTGAGACCAGCCTGGCCAACATGGGGAAACCCCATTTCTACTAAAATTACAAAAATTAGCTGGGTGTGGTGGCGGGTGCCTGTAATCCCAACTACTTGGTAGACTGAGGCAGGAGAATCGCTTGGACCCAGGAGGCTGAGTTTGCAGTGAGCCGGGATGGTGCCACTACACTCCAGCCTGGGCGACAGAGTGGTACTCTGTCTCTCTCTCTCTCTCACACACACACACACACACACACACACACACACACACACACACACACACAGAGTAAGTGGTGTAGATGCCATAAAAGTAGCATCTAAAATCGGAATTTATGTCCCCTGTTGCTTCTGCTGCAAGCAGAGGAAGGGGTACGTTGAATTGCAGAGTTCCATTAGTTCAGATTTTCCTGGGAGAGTTATACCATGTAATTGATGGCACATAAGGTAATTTGAAAATGGTAAATGAGTCCATTAAGTAACTGCAGTACTGGTACATAAATTTGTGCTATTTGGGGAAAGCCTTGTCTTAATTGGCTCTCGGGCTTGTTGCAGGTGAGCAGGGACTATCTGAGGCCAGTGGTGCTGGGGTGAAAAAATTTACCAAGACAGTGGTAGGTAAAGAAAGGCGGAATCATCAGAGAAAGTATGAAAATACATTGCAAGGGAGCAACGGGCAGAATCAGCAGAAGAGGAGCTGACTGCAAGGAAGCAAAGGCTTGCTGGGGATTTTATGGAATATTGCTTATGCTGTACATCGAAGAGGGCTTTGTGCAGTACTGATGTTACACTCCCAAGTTTTCCCCAACCCCTGCTTCTAAGGCGACACAACGCAAAACCGGGTCCTGGTACAGCAACAAATTGACCCAAACAGGTCTTCTCTTGGGGAAAAGGAGTGCTAAATGGACATAGAAAGGGTTGGTCACTTAAGCTGCATCTGTATCCTAAGTGTCACTGAGAGCAGCTGTGACAGTTCTCTGATATTCCTGGTGTGCACTCCAGTCTTGATCAACAAAACCTTGGAATGACCACCACCAAGGAAAGGAGACACATTCTACTGCCTCTGGTTCCTTTGCATTTTCAGTACAAGTACCTCAAACTTCAGATAACCTTCTCATGGCCCTTCCTTAACATTCTGAAAAGCACGACCTATTAAAACAGCTTGCTTATTTATTTATTTATTTATTTATTTATTTATTTATTTATTTGAGTTGGCGTTTCGCTGTTGTTGCCCAGGCTGGAGTGAAGTGGCACCATCTTGCCTCACTGCAACCTCCCCCGCCGGGGGTTCAAGGGATTCTCCTGCCTCAGCCTCCTGAGTAGCTGGGATTACAGGTGCCTGCCACCATGCCTGGCTAATTTTTATATTTTTAGTAGAGATGGGGTTTCACCATGTTGGCCAGGCTGGTCTTGAACTCCTGACCTCAGGCAATCTATTGGCCTCAGCCTCCCAAAGTGCTAATATTACAGGCATAAGCCACCGAGCCCGGCAGGAGCAGTTTATTAAGGAAAGAGGAAAACAAAGTAAAGTCACTTGGAAGAGACGCAGGGAAAAGTCTACAATGTAGGAAAAGAAGCAGGAGAATGCAAAACCAAGAGAGGAGAAAATTTTAAAAGAAAAGCTTTAGACAAAGTTCCACTCTGCAACTTGGCCAGGGAGTTTTTTGTTATTTGTTTTGTTTCATTTTGTTTTTTGAGACAGGGTTTCACTGTCACCCAGGCTGGAGTGCAGTGGCAAAATCATGGTTCACTGCTTAGAGCTCCAGGGCTCAAGGGATTCTCCTGCCTCACCCTCCCATGTAGTTGGTACTACAGACGTGCACAACCATGCCTGGCTAATTTTATTTTAATTTTCCATTGAGATGGTGTCCCCCTATGTTGCCCAGGCTGGTCTAGAACTCCTGGTTTCAAGCAATCCTCCTGCCTTAGCCTCCCAAAGTATTTGGGATTATAGATGTGAGCCATGCCTACCCAACAGGAAGTATTTATAGACAGAAAAGGGAAGTGAGTTACTTACAGAAATAGCTTGATTAATTACAGCTCCCCATTTGAATTATTTGGCTAAGGTCAGCAGCTTGTGATTGGCTGAAGCTCAGCTGCTTGTGATTGGCTGAGAATTGGGATGTTTGTTATACTCCACGCTTGGTTTTCAGTTAATTTGTGTACCAAGTTAGGTTGCAGTTCCTTACAATTCCTTCGGCAGGAACTCAAAGCATGGAGACAGCCTCAAGTCAATGGCCTCCTGCTTATTTAATAAGTTTAGGGAAGAAATAGTCAACATTATCAACCTGTCAGTCACAACACAGCTTCTGAGTCAGAAATGACAATGCCATCATGTCATTTGTGTAGGGCATCATTCTCAATAGGATGACATCACAGATTCCTCGCAGATGAAAAGATCTTGGATGGTTTGTGCTACAGTGGTTTGTGGCTCTCAGTCCATAAACAGATGTAGAGTATATCTCTGGTATTAAAATTTCATGGGATTGGGGCTGGCATTGTGAATAGGGAAAAAACATCTAAAAAGGTTCCTTATAGGGATATGTACAGTGAGTACATAATGTATCATCCAAACGGAAACACTTCTGAGAACAGAAGGTAACGCGATTCCTATTTACGCCAGGACACAGGCATAAAGAGGATTGTCCCCATTGACTATGTGAGAACTCGGAACTTCCATTATACTTTATTAACCCTTCTCCGTGGCTCTTTAATTTTCCCTGTTTTGTAGCTACTCTTAATCCTTCCATCTGGAATGTAAATTCCTTAAGAGCGGGCACAGTAACATACTCTTTATAACTCTGCCTCATCACTAATTTCTTCTTGAGAAATTATGTGGTCTTGCCATATCAAACTATTTGTTAGTCCCTGAACAACTCATGCTCTGGTGCCTTTTTTTAGCACAAGCCTGGGGGGAGACTGAGTTCCAGGGTGTGGCTCCGGGTGCCTGTGAGGGTCTACACTAAACCAGCAAGTATCCCTATGGCCAAGGGAGTATGACATTAAGGAGCAAATAAAAAACACTGACTGGTAGACAGAAGAAAGGAAAATGTCTTTTTTCTTTCTTTTTTTTTTTTTTTTTGAGACTGAGTTTTGCTCTTGTTACCCAGGCTGGAGTGCAATGGCGCGATCTCGGCTCACCGCAACCTCCGCCTCCTGGGTTCAGGCAATTCTCCTGCCTCACCCTCCTGAGTAGCTGGGATTACAGGCACGTGCCACCATGCCCGGCTAATTTTTTGTATTTTTAGTAGAGACGGGGTTTCACCATGTTGACCAGGATGGTCTCGATCTCTTGACCTCGTGATCCACCCGCCTCGGCCTCCCAAAGTGCTGGGATTACAGGCTTGAGCCACCGCGCCCGGCGAAAATGTCTTTTTTCATACTTCAACAAGGGGCCTTGCATTTTCATTTTGCACCATGCTCTATAAATTATGCAGCTAGCTCTATATGTATTCACTTGTCTCATCCCCATAGAATAAAAGTCCTTGAAAAGAGGAGCTTTTTTTGTTTACTGCTATTCCATAGTGAGACCAGCATAGTACCTGAACATTCTATACTCAGTAAATATTTGCTAATGAATAAAGCAGCTTATGGTACTGTTAGTATCTGGTGTGTTTCTTCAGGCAGGCTATAAGCTCTGTGAGGGTACAGGCTTCAGGATTCATCCTGGTATCCCATCCACCTCGGCAAAAGGCTGGTGGACCACAGGCACTTAGATGTTTTTTGGTCAGTGACTGTAACAGTGAAAAGCAGACAGAAGGGTGAGTAGAGCATCGAATGTCCACTTGCCCTTCCAGTCTCCTTAGGCAAAACTGAACTCATTCTCTGCTCTGGAAAGGGATGCACCTGGTTTCATGTGAAATGTGTTCCTGAAGGACAATCTCAGATATGCTGAACTAAAACATGGGGCAAATGGCTTATGGAGGAACTCACCCTCACTCTGATTCTGAAAACCTCCAAGGAGCCCATGATGGTGGCCTGCTTGGGTAAAAGAGAAAACAAATGGAAAATGGAAGTAGAATTCAATAATATTAATATTTTTTTATTTTATTTTTTTTTTGAGACGGAGTTTCGCTCTTGTTACCCAGGCTGGAGTGCAATGGCCTGATCTCGGCTCACCGCAACCTCCGCCTCCTGGGTTCAGGCAATTCTCCTGCCTCAGCCTCCTTAGTAGCTGGGATTACAGGCACGCGCCACCATGCCCAGCTGATTTTTTTTTGTATTTTTAGTAGAGACGGGGTTTCACTATGTTGACCAGGATGGTCTCGATCTCTCGACCTCGTGATCCACCCG